TGAGTGAAGTTATCAAACCAGAAGCCAAGAGGCTTGATGTTGTGTCCAGTCCTACTGGATCCCTACTGTCTGTTTAACGAGCAGGCTGTGAAGTGTTAACAACTCAATGTTGCTCTGAATTTAAATCTTGAAAGACTGAAAAAGACTTTGGTGAAATTTGTGGCACTTCAGGTAATCTCTGGAAATACAATCAGGCTTCCACATTGAATCTATAATGACGCTTGGTGGCGCTACAGCTTGTTAGTGATGCAGCGGGCTAGTCAGGAGTCGGAGACAGGACCGAGAACAGCGATCGCCTCGATTTCCACCAGCCCACCCTGAGGAGAAAAGGAGGAGACGCAGGTTGAAGAAATGACTGCAGAGGCGAAATATTAAATTATAATACTGTCCAAAAATTAAACACACACACAGTCATTCAAAACCCCCTGCAAAAAGCCTTTATACACATCTCTGCAGTCCCATGAAAAACCAATTGATCCCCATAATTCTGTAGCTGGTAGATCCAACTTTAGCAGCAATAACTTGAATTTGGCCAAAAGCAGCATTTACACTACATTTACTCATTTGTCCAAATATCAGCAGAGTCTCCGCTGTGTGACAGTGTAAGCAAATTAAGTGTGGAAAACATGATTAATAGTTTAATTTGTGGTTTAAAATAAAATGCAAATCCCTCCTTTTTCAACCTTTCTGTTTCTGATCAGCATAAAAATGAAATTTATGACATCATCCATATGTGCACAGTAGCAGGGACTTTAAAGTGGGTGTATCATAATGTAATAAAGTTCTAAAGCTGTGGTTAACACTCACTCTGGGGAGAGCAGCGACTTGGTAGGCAGCTCTGGCAGGAAAGTTACTGCTGAAAACTGGGGAGGGAAAACATTTTCATCAGATTTGCATGCATTTGCAGAAGCACGGTGAAGTTATTCACTTCCATCAGTGAACCCATCTATGAATCTCAATTTGAATGGTTCATTTCAGCTTCTAATAATATGAAAGGCTTTATTTATGAGTGGTTAGATCATTTACCCACGTATTATAGATAAGCAATAAAACAACAAGCACAGGTGCTTTGTAGCTGCTGGGTAGAAAGTTCCTTTGGCTGGTCTATAGCAGCAGCTGAGGATGGTAACACACACACAAACACACACACACACAACCTGGAAAGGCACATTTTTGCCTTAACTTAAGTTTTAAACCAGTTTTTATAAACCAGTAAAGGCTGAGTTTAAAGGCTCAAAACAGAGTTTTAATGAAACATTTCCTTTCCTTCCTCTCACCAGGGTCAGGGAAAGTAACCTGCCTGTGGTTTCGGTGGCAGTGCGAGGGAGAAAGGTGGGAGTAAATGCCCAGTGCAGATATGCCTGCTGGGAAAGGATGGGTTACAGTTGTGTGCCTGCACGGTGGTGTCTATTTACAGCTCTCTGGGTGCTGGAGCGTCCATTACACCTGACTGTTATGATTGGCGAGGAGGATGTGAGTAGAAGGCTGCTGTCGAGCAGCAGAGAAAGAGCTAAGTGAGCGCATCGGTCAGGTGACTCCTAAACTTGTCACACTGTCATTTTCTCTGTCTATTCAGAGAGCTGCTAGTGTGGTCAAAATGAAAGGAACAATATAGTACTGGCTTACATGTCTTGTAGACCTCATTGACGTTGTTGAAGTCATTTATATCTGCGAGCAACACAGTAGTCTTCACCACTGAAATGAAAGGGTTTATGTGCTCTGAAAGCTCGTGTTTAAAATTCAGAACATGTGAAACAAACGAGGAGAAGCTCAGTTTCTCACCGTTGCTGTAGTCGCAGCCGGCAGCTTTAAGGATCTCCCCAATATTGATGAGCACCTGAAGGACACGATGGGAAAGATTTGTTTGTATTTTAGGAATCTGTTGTGGATGCAACTTCTGCTGTAGCTGATCTAAACACTGACAGAAGTGAGTTTCACCTGTTTGGCCTGAGCCTGCACTCCTCCATCTACCAGCTTCCCGGAGGCGACGTCCATCCCCAGCTGACCGGAGATGTACATGGTTCTGTCCACGATCACCGCCTGGCTGAGGACGACACACACACAGGTTTCTTTCTCAGGATGATGTTTCAGCAGGAGAAAGTGAAACAAAAGGCCAAAAGTTCCAAGAAGATATTTCCTCACACCATTGCACCACCAGGCTGAATCACTGATACAAGGCAGGACGGATCCACACTTTCATGTTGTTTTTGCCGAATTTTGATCAAATGTTAAAGCATAAATCAAGACCAGGATACATTTTTCCAATCTTCTGTCCGGTTTAGTGAGCCTGTGTAAACTAGAGCCTCAGTTTCCTGTTGCTGGTTGACAGGAGTGACATCCACTGTGGTCTTCTGCAGCTTGTTGTGCATTCAGAGATTCCCTTATGCATACTTCACTTGTAACGAGTGGTTATTTGAGATACTGCTACCTTCCTCATCCTCATCTTTGAAGAACTCAAGCTTTTCTCCCCAGACCTCTGGCAACTTCAGAATTTCATCCTGAAATGTCTACAATTTTCTTTCTTTATTTCAGTAACATTACAAAATTAAAACATTTTAAAATGCAAACTGGTTTAGAGCGAATGATGCAATACACCACAATAGTATACATTTTTAAACACCAAAATATTATTGATTAATTACAATAGAGACAAAGTAGTCTATTTTAACATATTTTGTGTCTCCTGTTTTAATTTTTTTGCAGATGTACAGCATTTAAATAATTTTGTTACTACCTGCAGGTCTCTTAACCATCCCAATGTAGTGATTATAAGGGAAAGGGACAGTCATATTAAACATATATGAAAACCCACACGTGTATTTGACCCCAAACGCCTTTGCATAACTTTCTACACAGCAAGAAACTGTGAAAAGCTGCTACCGCTCAAACAGGACAGACAAACGGCTGGATTTATAAATTATCCCACTCAGTCTTGGGAAGTTAGTTCTTAAAAATAAATGATAAACCACGTGAACTTTGATCGAGTTATGGTGGATTTAGAACAAGTTTAAGCACAAAGTCGGGACACCTTACCTGTATATTCCCTGCCTCACAGGAGCTTTTGGTGTGTAGATGATTTGGCGACGAATTGAAGCCATTATAAGCTGCTTGTCGACCTTACTCGGTTTCCTGCTATGCTGGGCCCCCTTTGCCCCACTGAGAAACTTTTAACTTTGGTTCTATCTGTGAGTTCACTGAACTGTACAAACATCGGACTGTCCTTGTGCTCCCACGTCTCACCTGTATGGGCCGATGGCACCCGGGGCCGACGGAGTGTTAACGACCCTTCTGTTGAGCGCAGACATGCTTCCCAGATTTCTTCAGCTTGCTGCCAACCTTTCCGAAGAGCTGTGATTAATGCAACTGTGCAAGAAAAGCAGCAGAAAAAGAAGGAACACTGTTTCCGTAAAGTCTACCGTACCGCACTGAATATAGGAGCAGCAGGCGCGCTTATAGCTATAAAAAGGCGTTCAATATAAAATGAAATGCGCCCTTGGCAGAAGAGTTACGGTGAAGGGCGTCAAAGCTGCTTTTATGAAGGCAAAGATCAGCGGTACTGCCCGAAGTTTTGATATCGATCCGAAACCAAGTAAATACAGGGTCGATATTTTTAACCAATAACGAGAGCCAGTGGGTCATGATTTATGAGATGAATCAATTTGCAAATTCTGAACACATTTAATTCACCACTAAATCACAGCGATTTTTATTTTCCACATTAGTTAACACAAAACATACTATTCAGCTTTTCATGGGAATTTCTTTCATATTTTTTGGCATCCAGGAATGTAAATGTACCTGTCTCTCTGTGCTAGAGGCTAAGAATAAAGCAGATGTGACAGTCAACACAAAAACTTTCGTGCACCTTTTATAGTGTGTGTTTGTTGTATTTTTTTTTTCAATTCCAAAAAAGTAACACAAGTCTACATAATGAAATCAGAGTATCTAATCATGTCATGTTGGTATTAATCCATCCACATCTAAAGATTAGACCAAAGCCAGCTCTGGTTAACTATAAGTGACTTTTATTACTTTTTCAACATTTTTGAAACTTTATTAAAGTATTACAAACAGAACATAATAAATTAAATGCTTACATTCCACTCTACACCCTTCAATCTTTACATAAACCGAATAAGTGAAGTAAATGAAGACAAAAATCATAATGATATAGCAAAAGGTGGCTTTAGGTAACTGTACATATTACAGCCAGTTCTAAAAAACAAAACAAAATCATAAAAACCCCCAAAACAAACTATTGGCCTTTTCAGTGTTCAATAGTTTTTAATAAAAGCAAAATTAAAGGAATCCCACATTTTCTTCTTAAACATTACTCTTTCCTTATACAACAGCGTTCTACTACAGAGCAAAATTAAGTATAAACATGCATAGTCCAACCACATTTACATGACCAAGGGCCAAAATATTAACAGCCAAATCAGCCACAATATTTAAACCAGTGTCACGAAAAGAAAAGAAAGCAGAGCGGTTAATAAATAAAGTGAATGCTTGTGTGAACTGCAGGCTTAATTCATGAAGGGTTTCCAGCTGCTTCACCTACAAAACACATTCATATGTAACAGCAACCAGCAGATTCACTGCACGTTTTTAACATTAAGACAGGATGAATTTATTCATTCACAGGGTCATTATTAGCGCTTAAAAAGTAACACATACTTTAGCAGAAGAGCTGAATTAGAGCCAGAAGCCAGAATCATAGACAAAAACAAAAAATGTAGTAACCATTCAACAAGCTTGATGATTTGTGGGAGTAAAAACCTACAAATTCTTTCCTCCTTTTCATTTTTTGATTAAATTCCTTTGAATTTGGTTACTAAAGTGGTCCAACAAGCATATGCAGCGTGTGGGAAATTTCACAGCTGACTTCATTTATGATAAGAAAGGAAAACATTCCTCACTTATTAAAAATACAGGGAAAAAAGCCTTCATGTTCACATAAAAGAAGCCAAAGCTTGTGTCCCAAAACCCACAAAGCACATTTTTTGTCTTTTTCTCCCCTTCAAATATCAGGAAACAGAAAGCACTCTCACTGATAGCTGAAAAAAGCTGCAGGGAAAAAAAAAAGAAAAAAAAAAGAAAACTTGATCCAATGGAGGAAAAAATTATCATCTGAAAATAAAAAGAACAAGTAGAAATCACGTGTGTGGCTGATGTAGCAGCTCTGGTTTTAAGTACAACCGTTACGTCTTTCGAGTCTTTTTTCTCAACCTGATGTGTTTTTCCTAAAGTGGAAAACAGCAATTAAACCATTTATGCAATAATTCAGGGTCTGGCCTCGTCACTCAGCTCTCTTAATGCTGCCTCAAGTCAATCAAGGAAGCAAGTGGAACAATCAAAAGAAATCAAAGTTATCTAAACTTAAACATTTAAAGAATGCTGTGCAGTGTTTAGGAATGACTTTCACCTTTTCCCCCTATTTGGAAATTACGTTTGTTTAACATTTCAGGGTGTTGAGGATGAAGAGCAGTGAGGGAGTGTCGTGTGTGTTTACGAGGCACTAAAAGATGCTTCAGATCTGCCACTATAGACTATAGACTGGGTGTATAAGGAAACCCAGAACGTCATACCTGAAAAACACCTAATTTAAATAAAAGATAATGCAGACTGAAGAGAAGCTGGTCCACAAAATAGCTGAAAACATGCGCAATCCGTTCTTCGACATCCACTGGATTTTTCTAAGCTTTCAATAGTCTCTCGTCCAACTCTCCTCCAGCTGAGGAAACAAACGTGACCATCCAAAGACTCGGTCGTTTTACTACATTGCTTATGTTGAAAAATCAGGTTTCAAATATTTTAAGGCAACTTCATCATCAACATCACCTCGATTGTCTTTGGTCATGGATGAACCTCCACAGCTTTTGTCGCAGGTATTTCCAAACTAGGCTCTATGTTTTATTTACAGTGAAGGTAAAAAGTCTCGGGGAGGTGGAGGGTGGGGGTAATGCCACTGACCTCGCTCGCTGCTCCTGCCTAAGAAAAGGCTTTTTGCTGATTAAAGAGGAAATTCTTTGTGTGACTCTCAGATGTGTTACAGCCACAGCTTGGTTCTCCTTTTTCTTTTTTTGGCAGGGTGTGGATTCCCAGAACCAAACAGACATCACCCAGTAAAGGAAGCATCTTACTTCATTTAGAGGTCAGCTAACAGGCGGCCAGAACAGCAGAGGGCATCCAATGAGATTGTTTTGGTTCCCCCGAAATCACTGGACAGAATTTGTTGTTTACCGTGGCTTAGGGAAATCCAGATTAGAGGAGGTCAGGGTCAGAAGGGGCATTTAGAAGTTCTGTTGTCGTCTCTTCTTGGCATCCATTGCATCCAGGATGGGCTGCCTTTTGGCAGTGTAGCGCTGCCTGAGCTCCTCAATCTCCCGCTCCATCATGGGATCCAAGGCAGTCAGGCGTAACTGCAGCTCCTCAAAGTCCAAGTTCTTCAACTGAGAGGCAACACAGACAAACAACAGATGGAAAAAATGAGTCACAACACTCAGAGCTGCTTCTGTTTTGCTGCTGTAAACATTTCCACAATGAATAACACTACAACAGAGTCACGGATGACACTCACAAAGTCAAAGTCTCCGTCCTGAGGCACCTTCCAGTTGTCAGGGAAGACGTTTTTGGACTGGATATGGTAGCCTTGCTGCTCCTGTGCCTGGTTGTGGTTGTAGCTCTCCTGCTGCTGGGCCGCCTTGTTGTCCTGCTTGTCGAAGTAATCCATGAAGGAAGGACGAATGGGCTGCTGGGGGGTGGCATGTCCTGAGGAGGAGGAAAATGGTTTAAACTCGAAGGTAACAAAATAAACTTTCTGGACAGAATATTTTGGAGACCGTCTCATTCAGGCACACATCATATCCGCTCACTTCTCATCGATCCCTGGTCTTCCTCCTCGTCTTCATCGTCACTGTTGATGACCATAGTGCCAAGGTCTGACTCAAGCATAGTGCTGCCGTGCTCAATCATTGTCTGCGCCCCGTCGCTCATAGTGCTGGTGGCGCGCATGGTTCCGGCGCCCTCTGAGCCCGACTTAACCATAGTGTGAGAATCCACCTCTGTCTCTTCCTCCTGGATGGAATAAAGAACAGAGTTAAGACATGCAGCATTACATCTGAGGTTTCTGTGAATAAATCAGCACACGCACCGAGTTGTCATCCTCCTCTTCCAGCTCTCTCTGCTGCTCCTGCTGCCTCTTGGCTTTCATCTCCATGGCTTCAGTTATTAGGTCTCTCAGGATCGTAACTGGCTTGGCCTGGCTGATGAATGGATGCTGGAGATTCACAAGACCAAAAAGATAAAAGTTACATGAACTATATTTTACATGCAAATGTATTTCCATACGAGTATATCCACCCAACATCATGTGTTACACCCTCTGATGTTTCTATGTGCCTGAGGCGGCATTAAATTTTCCATATTTACAAATCTCCAGGGTATCTGGGGAAGACTATTTGCGCTCTATTTTATATGTTTGCTTTCATTTTATATCAGTTATTTGAACAGGGAAGGACACTAAGAGCAACTAAGTGTCCTTCCCTGTTCAAATAACATAATAATAGTAGTAATCCATGTATGTGGTGGCGAGGTCATCTTCTTACCTGTAGCAGCTGTGTGGCCGTCGCTCTCTGCTCCGGGTTCTTCACTAAACACTTCTTGACAAAGTCTGTAAACTCGTCTGACCAGAGCTCCGGCTTCCTGAATGTTGGAGGAGGGTTGGTCGGGATCATAAAGATGGCCTGGAGGAGCACAATAACAGGATTAGGGTGGATTAAAAAAAGAGGATAAATGTTTTTCACAACACATTTAAAACAAGAAGAAATGTTTCCACTTACTCTCATTGGATGAATGTCTGCATAAGGAGGTTTACCCTCTGCCATCTCTATGGATGTGATGCCCAGGGACCAGATGTCAGCTACACAGTTGTAGCCGATCTCCTGAATTACCTCGGGTGCCATCCAGAATGGAGTACCAATCACAGTGTTTCTCTTTGCCATGGTGTCCTACAGAGTGGGAATATATAGACTTTTAGAGCATCACAGGACCAAGCGAGAACTCCTCAGAAGCAAATTAAAAACAACATCATGATGGCAGACATTACATCATCTTATCACTACTGACATATGCTGCAATTTTACCGTCAGCTGTCCAGCAACTCCAAAGTCTGCCAGTTTGGCGTGTCCCTCTGTGTTAAGAAGGATGTTTCCTGCTTTGATGTCCCGATGGATCTTCCTCATGAAGTGAAGATACTCGAGTCCCTTCAGCGTCGACTTAAGGATGGTTGCAATCTCATCTTCTGTCAGCTGAGAGATTGAAGAGTAAAAACCAAACATGAACAAACAGACCATTAACTGCTGCACTCGTCTGTAGTTTTTTTTTAATCATTAGTTCGC